ACACACACACACACACACACACACACACACACACACACACACACACAGTAATTTTCCACAGCCAAGATCACACAGAACCAGAAAATGATCAACCAGAACACAGCTGACCACCACTGCTTGCTATGCATACATCTTGTCCCACGTTTATTTCTTCCCGATATAACCTCCCAGCTATTACCAGCTTTTAGAATGCTAGTCCCCTGTTCCTCCTTTTTGGAAATATTGGATGTCTTTTATTTAATTGGACTCTTGGAGCTGTGAGTAGCTAAGCCTGGTCTGTTGAGACCCTAACTCAGGCCTAATGAACAACATAAACTAGGGCCATCTAGGAAGAGGGAACCTCATTTGAAGAATCCCTCCATCAGACTGACCTCTGGGCCATTTTCTTGATTACTGCTTGATATGGGAGAGCTCAGACCACTATGGGCAGTGCACATAGTCTTAGCTTGTGTAAGAAATGAGCAAGCCATGGAGGGCCAGCCAGGAACCACTGTTCAAGTGGTTCTGCTTCAGTTCCTGCCCTGAGTTTTTGTTCTGCCCTCCCTTCATAATGGATTGTAGACCATATGAAATAAACCCTTCAGATTTTGTTCTTTAAAGATTTTTTAAAATGTATATGTTTGTGCACCTGCATAAGTATATCTGTGCACCACCTGCATGCAGGTGTCCACATGAGATCAAAGGAAGGCATAGGGTTCTCTGGAACTGGAGTTATAGTTAGTTGTAAGCCACCATGTGGGTAATGGGAATTGAACCTAAGTCCTCTGTAACAGCAGCAGATGCTCTTAACTGAGCGATCTCGCCTTCAGCCTTACAAAACTTTTATTTTAAAAATCCTTTTTTAGCTAGGTGGTGGTGGTGCATGCCTTTGATCCCAGCACTCAAGAGGCGGAGTTCGAAGCCAGCCTGGGCTTTAGAGCTAGTTCCAGAACAGCCAAGACTACAAAAAAACCTCTTTTTTTTGTTTGTTTTGTGTTTATTTTTTTAAAGATAAAAAATTTAACATTCAAAAAGGTAACACCATTCATGCATTTATTAATTTATTCAGCAATTACTTTACACACCAGCCTACTTTCAGTACTGAAGTTGTAGGAAAATACAGACCTTTCATGAGACTAGGTTTATGTGATAATGAAAGTTCATTATTAATAAAATTCAACAGTGTTTGCAAAGCTGTACTTCCCACACTGGCTTGTACTTGAACTGTGGCTAGTCCAAACTGAGATGTTCATTAAGTGTAGAATCACACTAGACTTCAAATAATGAGTACAAAAATATGTAAAATAAGTAATTTTTAATATGACATGTTCATATTAATTTTTTTACATATGGGGATAACTTTAAGAATTTGAATCACTGTCTCACACTTTCTCACCAGGTCTCATTACATAGTTCAATCCTCAAACTTGCTTTGTAACCTTAAATAATCTCTAACTTACAATCCTCCTGCCCTAACCTCCTGAGTGCTAGCATTAGCACGTGCACCCTGTACTCTGCTCTTTTTAGGTAACTTTAAATTGTACATACAGCCAAAGTTTTTATTTGTATTGTATATATATATTAGGCAGCTCAGTCTAAAGATGGAGCTTATTTTCATGGAGTGAAGATTTAATCCCCCCTCCCTTTTTTTTTTTTTTTCTAGACAGGGTTTCTCTGTGTAGTCTTGGCCATCCTAGACTCACTTGGTAGATCAGGCTTGCCTCAAACTCATGGAGATCTGCCTGCCTCTGCCTCCCTAGTTCTGGGATTGCAGGAATCCACCATCGCACCTGGCTTTAATTTACTTTATTACATATTACTCTTTTTGTTTTTTAACTGTTTTACATTTACTTTGTATGAGGAGGTTTGTGTATCATAGCACACTTGTGAAGATCAGAGAACAACTTGGAATTCTGTTCTCTCTTTACAGCATGGAGTCTCAGGAGTCAAACTCGGCTTGTAAGGCTTGGTGGCAGACACCTCTACCCACTGGGCCATCTGGCCAACCCTTGATATGGTTCTTGATATTCTTAGACCAAAACTTAAACCGTGTTACTAGCATGCGATTAAAACTTAATTGCATGTGAGTTTGAAGGGAACTAGAACTGTTTGGAAGAATCTGATTATTTTTCTTGTTGTTTTGTTCCCTCCATGTCTCTTCTGTCTGAACCCTGGTGACTGGCTCCACAAAATAGTACGGTAAGAAAATTGTGGGCACTTGTGGGCTTTCTGCCTTAATAGGGTTAGAGACGACAGACATGTTGGGTGGCTGTCTGACCCCCTCTCCTACATGGCAAGCTGTAGGTGAAACACATTTCTGGGCCTGCCTGTGTGGCCCACACTCTGCTGTGTGTAGAAAGGAGCCTGCAGTACTTCGGTAACAGTAGTCAGCTCAGAACTTGGCAGCCGATGAAAAGGAAAGAGGCAGAGAGAGAAGGAACAGACTGAGGTGGTCTTCCTGCAGCAGGGAGCTTGTTCCCATAGTTTGCTTTCCAGACACAGACAGATTCCACACCGTGCTGCTTGTTTCTGTTTCATCTTTTCATAGCTTCAATAAAAACAGCAAAGTAAAAGCATTTTTCCCAAGTAACTAATAAATACTAATCACAAAATTCCTGATTTTTCTATAAATTGATAACAATTTCTGGCAGCCTAGACAAGACACATAGAACAGAGAAGAAAGAATTAAAATTTTGTCCCATATAGAAAATATGCATTACAAGCTTTCTGTATTAAAATAATTTTTGCCTTATATGTGTAGACCAGGTTGACTTATTATCATCTATCAGTTCCTTTCTTCCTTCCTTCTCTCCCTCATTTAAGACAGGGTCTCACTAAGCAACCTCAGCTGGTCCGTGGCTTGATATGTAGACCAGGCTAGCCTCAAACTAATAGAGATCCCCTTGCCTCTGCCTCCCAAAGCTGGGACTAATGGTGTGTACTGCCATACCTGACTATGTTGACCTGAATTCACCATCTTCTTCCTGTAGATGTCAGAGTGCTGGGATTTAGAGGCATGTACCATCACACCCAGCACCCTTTGTGGTTTTAGGGAACATGTTTAAATGTAGCTCAGTGCTATGGTTCTGTATGTGTTTCTTAGCTTTCAGAATTCCGTGTCATATACCGGAAAACTTACTATTCTTAAATTTGCTATCATTTAACTATAAATCCTTCAGGCTTCCTTCCAGGTGGCTTCAGATCTATGCTATTGTCTATCCCTACTTTGGCAGAAGGCAGGTTATACCTGGTGGTAGGTAGATAGTCAGGGCTGGTAAGACCCTCTTAGAATAACCCTCCAGGCTTTGTTATAAACTTTGCATAATAAAGTAGAAATCAAGATAATCATACAGTGCAGAGTACTGGAAAGAAACTAATAGGAGAGAGATAGATTCAGTGGAGAAAGATGGGAGGAAAATGAAGATTACTATGGAGCAGTAGAGTTGAAAATGAAGCAACATCCAATAAAAAGAAAGATAGGAATAAAAGTCAATAGGTTAAACAGGAAATAAGTATGTATGCTTACAACTTTCTGGGGATATGGGAAAAATGAAAGTATAATGACTTGTTGAAATACAAGAATGAAGATGTAAGCAGTGAGCAGTTTACTTAGATAACACAGTTTGATGGCAAGAAGACCAGTTACTCTGCACAGAATCTTAGATCAATGCCTAAACTATGGAGATTATAACTCTCGTTAAGTTGGGCAGTTCTTATCATGCTGGCTGAATAACTTTTAGCGTAGTTGTTCAAATCATGAGCCCCAGAACTTCTCTTTGAACTTGCTAGGTTAACTTTTCAACATATTCTCTTACCATACCAAATGCAGTCCTAAATTATTTTTCTCTTATTGTGCTTTTTCCAACTTCCTGCAGGAGTTTTTAGATAGTGATGGCACCAACTCAAAGTAAAGTCTAGAAATGTATTTCACAGTCTGTATTCATCAAAATCACCATGACAAGCGGAAGTCCAGTGAAGGCCATTTTACTATTTGCTCTTTCAAACTCTATGCAAACAATTCTAATTCGGTTGACAAAAACCATTGGCTTAATACATTTTTGCCTCAGAAATTAAAATAAATTAGACATGGCTGCTATTAAACAGCTTAATTTGGTTACTTAAATTTGGATAGTTTTAGAATGGAAAATGATTTACGTTTTTATATTACTTCAAAAGTATTTTCAGAAAATCTTAATTTCTTAGTGTATGTGACTCTGGCTGTAGATTTCCAAGTTCATGCATAGGCTAAAAGATATTTCTTCACTTGGGCTGAAGAGATTGCTCAGCAGTTAAAAGCAGGTCTTGTTCTTGCAGAGGACCTGAGTCTGGTTCCCAGCACCATGGTGGGTGGCCCACAGCTACTTGTACCTAGTTTCCAGTGTATCTGATGTCCTCTTCTGAACTCCAACATTTAGACCTACAGATACCTGTACACACATAAACATGCACATAAGTTTTGAAACATCTTTCAAGCCAAGCATGGTTATGTTCACTTTTAATCCCGGCAGAAGCAGATTGAGTTGCTGTCAGCCTGGTCTACATAAGTTCCAGGGTAGCCAGCACTACATAGTGAGACCCTATCTCCAAAAACAACACAAAACAAAAAACAAAAGCTGTGTTGTGGTACAGCATGCCTTTGATCCCAGCACTTTGGGAGGCACAGCAGGTGGATCTCTGAGTCTGAGTCAAGCCTTGTCTACAGAGTAAGTTCCAGGAGAGCCAGCACTACACAGAGAAAAACAAACAAACAAAACAAAACAAAAAATAGCAATCTTTAAAAAAAAGTATCATTGCCTTAGAAAAAGTGTCCAATTTAAGCTCTGCATTTTTCTAATAGCTAACTTATTGAAATCTCGGGGGCAAACATTTGCATAGATTTAAACATGTAGACAATGGTTCTTACACGGTTTTGTGTAAGAACAGATGAGGTAAGAAGTCAGTATCATTTTTCAGTCCTCTAACTGGATAATTGGAGATTCCTTGTAATGTGTGGAAATTAGTGAGAAGCATGAATAAACACCAAATCCTTCTTAGTTCTGGGCTCACCTTGAAAGAACTGACTCATGGGAAAACAATTAACAATCAAATTTCTGTATTAACCATGGAACTGTAACTCGGTTAACTTGAAGACATGAACATGAGGATTCATTTTCACATGTTTGTATTGATTAAAGTGGTGAAGCTGTTTATAGCTTTCACTCTAACTTTCCCTTCTTTCTTTCCATCTCATTTATTGCAGCACTTCTGGGGCCCTGTTGCCAACTGGGGTCTCCCCATTGCTGCTATCAATGACATGAAGAAATCTCCAGAGATTATCAGTGGGCGGATGACTTTCGGTAAGAACACATTGAAGAAAGGGAGGGCTACATGCTCCTGCATACATCTCGCCGCATGTTATGGCTGCTATTAGGAAGTCACATAAAGAATATAAGGGTGAGCTGGGTATGATGGCACACGCCTTTAATCTCAGCACTTAGGAAGCAGAAGCGGGGGGATCTCTGTGAGTTAGAGGCTAGCCTGGTCTACAAAGTGAGTCCAGGGCAGCCAAGGCTACACAGAAAAACTGTCTTGAAAAAAGAATTTAAGGGCATCAAAGAGTGCTACTTTCTCTCTCTGAAATAGGAGCAATTTGAAGATTTTGTGAAATGCGAAGATCATTTGGTTCAGATTTAGTATGCTCAGTCCAAGTATGAGAGGTGTTGTTGTTATTGTTGTTGTTTGAGACTGTCCTAATAGAACTCACTCTGAAGACCAGAATGGTTTAAACTCAGAGATCCACTTGCATCTGCCTCCCAAGTACTGGGACTAAAGTCCTGTGTCACCACTGCCCAGCTAAAATGTATGTTGTTTTAATTATCCTCATAGCCAACCAATTTTAATATAAACTTGATCTGGCAAGGTGTCATAAGCTTGCTTGAAACCCCAATATTTAAACATATAAATGAAGGAAAAAGTATAAGTAGCAATTCTTTCAAATGATTGATATAAAAAGTTCTAATATCCAGCAAAAGTGTCAAGAATTAATTTCCAGTTATTCTTGCTGTGATGCATATGTTCCTGATGTTCAAGTCATGAACAACAGCCATTTCAAGAGCTTCCCAGCCTTAGAAGCTTACCAGCGGTAGGTCTCATCTTGTAAGGTCACAGAGGTGGAAAAAGTTCTTTTTTCACTACTGCATTGGATTTTGTTTCTTCAGCCTGGTATCCAAGATATTCATGTTCTTTGTTTTCTTGTTTTTGCAGCCCTCTGTTGCTATTCTTTGACATTCATGAGATTTGCCTACAAAGTACAGCCTCGAAACTGGCTCCTGTTTGCATGCCATGTAACAAATGAAGTAGCTCAGCTCATTCAGGGAGGACGGCTTATCAACTATGAGTAAGCAAATTTTAATATGTTTTGAGGAATTATTGAGAAACGTGATTTTAAAAACAGATAAAAGTCAACATGAAGTAGGATGTGCCATTGTAGAAATGTGTCTTCTAAAGCCATGCAGAATTTCTGAGGCTGGCAAGGGAATTTGTTTCTCATTAAAATTGTCTCTAATTATTTCCAGGTTGAATAAGCGGGCATAGCAGTGCAAGGACCAGCTCTTGAAAGGGACAGTGCCTCAGCCACTGCTGCCAAGCCACAGATCACATCAGCATAAATGCTGAGGGGAAAACACGGAATGCTATGTTTAATAACCATGCCAACATTATAGAATAGCCGAGAGTCCCTAAACCAACTCTCTGCTGCCTTATCAACTAAAATTTATTTGTCTTCATCAAGAGTAGTTCAAAATATGCAACTTATTTTGAATGATGGTTTTATGTATAGCAATCTGTAGCAATGTGTATATTATCTATTGGGATTTGTGTAATAAAAATCTAAGGGAACAAATTTTATAACTACAAGCACTTAAGTACTCAAAATTCTTGACTTTTTCTTTAATGACTAAAGTGTATCCCTCAGTTGGTCACATGCCTATACATAAATTTCCAATGGTAACAAGTACCAGTGTTTTCCATAGTGTGTAATTCAGATCTGTAACTTAATGGCAATAAATGATTTAAATATTTGCTATTTGAGTGTAACTATATCTTGCTGTGTTGGTTAGGAAACTACAGAACTAAACATCTGAAAGAATAGTTTCAGAAGAAAATAGGACTTCCTGAGAACTATTGATGTGACCTGAGGAGCAAAGAGCTGGAAAGGGCAGAGGGGAAATTCCTTTTGAGAGAACTCCATCCCATTCACAATGGACATGCTTGAGTCATTATTTTCTCTCTTAGTTACCTCACAGTCTTCCGAAGCAAGTAGACTTTTTTTTTTTTTTTTTTTTTGTGGTGGTGGTGGTGGTGGTGGTGGTGGTGGTGGTGGTGGCAAGGGTAGGTTGGGGTGGATTGATGTTGGCTTAGAAGTGGCAATATGTGTGATAACCTGACAGAGCCAGAGCCCCCACTCTAGGCTTTCTGCTGCCAAGCTGCATCTACAGCCAATGCCCAGACAGCCCCAGTCACAGCTGTCATAGACTCCTTACACAGACACCCAAAGAGGCAGCATTGAGCGCCATGGACTATCTAATAATCTGTTATTTAATGATTTCTTCTGCTTTGTTTATTATATGAAGTGTAGTTACAGAATAACAACCATAGTCTTACTAGTTCTCTCTGACCCTCAGCAGTTCACCACCCACAAATTTTGAATGGATTTGAATCTTGCTCTTTCAACCTTTGGGGAAAGTTGTGATAAAGTCTTGAACACTGAGGAAAGAGGCCAAGATTTTTTACATTTCTATCATGAAGACTGCCCAGCTCCCCAAGGGTAACCATAGAGAGGCGTCCAGCTGAAAACAGCTATAGAGACCCAACAGTAGAACAACAGGTGAGAGCAAATCAATAATTCAATTATGGTTTCTCATGAAACCCAGATGGAAATAAAGATTCCTTTGCCAGTGAGGAGGCTTAGCATATGAAGGTACTTGCTATCAAGCCTGGAGACCTGAGTTTGGTTCCTGGAACACACATGGTAAAGAGAACTGGTTCCTGCAAATTGTTCATTACTTCCAAACTCAAGCCAGGTGAGTATGCATACACAAATAGGTAAAATAAGTAGAGGACATAAGAAGAAGAGATTTGTTTGGAAATGGTGACTACCAGCCTTGAGAAGCTCCATTATACTTCTTTATCCTGAGAATTGCCAAGCTTTGTCTTGGAGAGACCTGTGGAGGGCATTACCACGGCACTTTGATTCATTCTGGTCTGTTGATCAGAGAGTATGTGATGTCTAATCTCAAGATTTGGAACCCAGGTCCAACTTTGTCAGGACAGCTTATGTATATCAGAGAACAGGTAGGTAAACACTGTCAGAAGAGGGTGGCATGAAAGGACTCACCACAGAATAAAACTGGAAACTGAGCTGGGCTGACTTAAAACCTGACTAAAAGCCCAACGGTATAAACTTTAAAAATCACAAGTTACATTACCCCATGACTCTAAAATTAAGGGCTACAAATATCTGTAATTTCTGATAACAAAATGAGAGTCGTGACTAACTTCTAAGAGGATATTGATTCTAGTTGTCAAACTCAAGTGCCAAGTTGCTCTCACCTCCAGTGGCAATTTTCTTGTTCTGGGGCAGAGGTGACAATTGTGAAACTTTCCTGTACAACCGAGAATCTCCCGTCCATACAGTGGGAGTCCTGCCCTGTGTGTGTGGAGGGGACACAGGAGGAAATTGGAGAAATCAATAGCCTTTTGTTTCATAATTCTCTGACCTCAGCTGGTTTTTAGGTCACACTCAGTTGGTTTCTTCTGCCCCTTTTCACAGTGTATTCACAGTAGTTATTCAGAAACTTAAGCTAAGCACAGTTACTTTTGTTTTTTGACTCTGTTTCCACCTGAGGCTTCTTAGGTATTTTCTAGATCAGTGTGAGACGTTTACACACAGTAATAAGTGTGTATTAATAATAATTAGTAATAAGTGTGAACACAAGTTGGTACAAGACCTGGGGACACTGGCATTGCATCAGATTACTAAAGACATTGGCTTGCCTCAGAGAGGAGTTTACAGACAGTGATGAGAGCGTGAACACAGGCTGGCATACTTGGGGACACTGACATTGCACTGGATTACTAAAGACATTTCATAGCCTCAGTACAGTCACATGCGCGGGCCAGACAACTAGATCAAAGCATCACACGTGAAGGCCTAGAAACTGTGTCCAGCCTAGCAGGCTAGTGTCCTTGGGGACTGAGCGCCACAGACTAGAGGTCTATCAAGACTAGAGGAACCACCAAGGGTAGAAATCACTGACTTGGTTTTACTGTAAGGGCTGTTAAGGGAAGGACTCACAGGGTGTTGTCATAGTGGGTGGCTGTAACAAGACTGGATTGGCTGTTCCCAGACCTTTTCACTATGAAACCTGGACAGCTCACAGTTCAAACAATTTGGCCAACATTTCATGGCCTACTGGCAGCAAACCTCACTGTTCTTTGGTCTCCTGGTAGGGCACCCATTCTTCTCCAGTATGAGACGACTACTCATCTGAGGCCTAACTTTCTCAGCTACCAGTAAAAATTCTTGTCTAAACCACTAGTTCCATTAGTTCCTTTAGGGTAGTGGTTCTCAACTATCCTGAAGTACTTGTGTTTGACCCCTTAGGAGTTAAAAATCCTGCTTATCAGATATTTACATTACAATTTATAACAGTAACGGTATTACCTGCAGTTCCTGTCTGGCTGAATTTAATAAGAATCTATCCTTCCAGATAATCCTGGGCCACAGAACATCTCTCCAGGCTGGCACAACACCTGGGACTTTCTGTTCCCTGTCTGTTTACATGGACTCCTGTACATCAGGCCATGAGCAGACCTATAAAGAAGGAAAAAAGTAGCAATGGAGAAAGAGGAAGGAAGGAGAGAAAATAGAGATGGAGGAAAGGAGGCAGGAATAGATTAGTTGACTTGTCTGGCTTTGTGTGTGTGTATATATATATATGTATGTGTGTATGGGTTTTTTCTTTACATACTGCTTGAACGTGAGCACACCTCTTCACACATTGGCAGGCACTCTTCCAGCATCCTCAGCCAGGACTGAACCCATGTCTTTGCTCATGCTGGTTGGGGCTCTTCCATTGAGCCTGCGATCATTTAAACATTTTGGGTTTGCCATAAAACTCTTATTATTAAAGTTTGCTGCCATTGTGGCAAAATTGCGCCATTTTGTGGCATCACAAAATTTGAACTTTGACATGACCAACAAGAAATCACTGCTTACTCTGATAGTGTGGTAGGGAACATAAAATCTTCAAGAACACAGTCTCCTAGAATGTCCTTCCTGTCCAGACGACAGCCTGGGACAAAACCCTCATCTTTGTAAATCTCAACTCTTAGATTAAAGTAGTTTCAAGTAGATAGGAGAAGAGCAAAGATGAATAAGCAGAGGACTTTTATTTTTGCTTTCTGCTGATTATTCAGCAAGTGATTAACAAGTGGACTCTGATGTCCTTCATGGTTAAGTGGGGTGGAAGCAGGTGTGCTCCTGGCCCCTTGTCTCCTTCACTATTTGCAGGGAGATCTGTGGGGAGTGGGCAGGAGGCTTTGTGTCTTATCCTCAGCCACTGCCTACCCACATCCTTTAGAAAAAGGCTCTCCTGACAAAGGGTTGGTTAAACTGGGGGGTGGTCTTCTAGGCTCTTCGCCAGCTGTGCAACTCGCCAGCTGTGCAACTATGAGAAAGTTGTTAGCAAACTCCTTGGCCCTTTACCTTGTTCAAAAGAATAACATGGGAGGTGAGAATTTCAGTGAACTTGTGGGGTTACAATGATTTGCTTGTTTATTTGCACAAAAAAATATTTGTGGGACACCTACATCACATGACTGTGATAGAGTGTAGGAAGATGAAAACACAATGGGAATGATGCCATCTGAAACCCAGGGACTTGTCCTGCAGGAGAGTGCAGTGCTTCCTTTCTAGGGAAAAGTGCCAGACAGGGTTCCAGAGCTTTACCTCACTGCCCAAGCAGAAACCATAGTTCAAATTTACTTTCTAGGAAAGAATACAAAAAGGGTGACAGATTATACTGTATCCAGCAGAAATACCAGGCAGGTCTTGGGAAGATGGGTCCTGTATCCACTCTGCAGTAAAGCTTAGAAAATGGGCCAGATGTATTCAGAAGGCTATAGAGTGTCACTGGGCAGACAGTCTGGAAAACTGCACACAGCCCTTGGTTCACCTGGCTTTCACAGTTACTACAAACTACTAAATATTAAGAGAAATGCGATATTCATGTGCCACTAAGTCAGATGGTTTTCTTTTAACTTTAAAAACAAGCATGGCCAGGCGTGGTAGTGCATGCCTGTGATCCCAACACTCAGGAGGCAGAGGCCAGCCTGGCTTACAAAGTGAGTCTAGGACAGCCAGGGCTGCACAGAGAAACCTTGTCTCGAAAAACAAAAGAAAACAAAACAAAAATTATATGAGCTGGAGAGATGGCTCAGTAGTTAAGAGCACTGTCTGCTCTTCGAGCGGTCCTGAGTTCAATACCCAGCAACCACGTGGTGGCTCACAATCATGGATCTGATACCCTCTTCTGGCATGCAGGTGTACATGCAAACAGAGCACTCATATATGCAAAATGGTAAATAAATATATTTTTTAAAGTGTGTTTGTGTGAATGTGGGTATACCTGAGACATTGTGTGTTATTGGGTGTTAGTTCTTACCTTCCATCTTGTGTAAGAAGTGTCTCTTAGTGTTCACCACTGCCTATGTCATGCTAGGTAGCCTGTGAGCTTCCATCTTGCTGTAGGACTGATGCTACCATGACTTAGCTTTATGTATAGTTTATCATAGCTTTTTCTGCCTGTCCTTTGGCAATGAGCAGTAAATGAGAGGGTAGCAAGACCCTAGAAAGTAAGGGTTTTCTCATTGTAGGAGATGTAGGGAGAGAAGGGGAAAATGAGCAAGGCATAGGTACACCTCTGACCCTTGGCGTCCTTGTTCTTGTTCACATGCTCTTCTGAGACTACCTCTTGAATAAAAAGGTTTCAACCCCCTTTATCTTTCTGTGAGCTTCCCAGA